GGGGGGGGGGGGAGGGAAGTCAAACCGTTCTGTGCCAATTAAATCTCATGAAGTAGCAGAACTCATTTGAATGTCGGAGCTATTTACATCTTTGATGGAAGTGCGAACACTTTATGGCAAAAACTTAAATATGGTAATTAAGTATGAAACTCCTCACAGCTGTTTACAATTTAAGCTGTCACATCTGAATCAAGTTTAATAGACCCAGCTACCGTTGAGAATTGCCCATGAACTAAAAATATGGACTAATTATATGCCAGAAAGTGGTAGCTATACATACATTCAGGGCCCGTGCCCTGTGTTAGAAGGAGTCTTCCATGCCTAGGTTTGGGAGAGTGCTATCAGTTTACCTTTTATCAGCATGGCATTCACGCATCTTATGAGCAGACAAAAAAAGATTCTGCTTTCTGCTAAAAAAGGCCTTGGAGAACTTTTTTATTTTGAGGAAGATGTATTGAGTCGATGTACCAGGGAGATAATTCTTTTAGTGCTGGAAAGATTTAAATTTTAATTTGCAGAGCGAGCCTTATCTTGGCAGTGCAAGGCTGGGGCTGTGCTTTGCAGCAAGGAGAGACAACTTGCTATTCTCCCCTCTCCCAGAAAAGTGGAGAAAGGGACAGAATATTAACGTGCCCATTCGTGGCTGGAGCAGCCGGCTGCATGGCTGTGTGTACCTGTCTGAGAGGACTGTCTAATGCACACTTCTGAGTTCAGGGAGTGTTTGGGCTGCTTCTCCAGAGACACCTGATGTCTCTTCTGTTCCCTCCCTCCTGCAGGGGAAAATGGCTGGGATGGAGTAACCCCCCATGCAACAATAGCTGTTGCTGTACTCTCTCTCCTGGTGATACTTCATCTCCATCACTAGGCGCAGGGGGAACAGGACAACTACAAGTCATTCATCATTGTGGATACAAAGCCCCCTGCCAGCACCATGGCAAAGTGCCTGGGGGGCAGAGCTGCAGGTGACTAAGCACCTAAGCATGGCAGGGGGCCTGGGGAAAGGGTCTGCACGGCTCTGAATTGCCCTCTCCCCGCCATACCCACAGACTTGACACTCAGCCCTCTTCCAAGCCAGAGTCTCCGATATATCACTCCCTGCCTTGGGCTGCCCGTTCAGTCTGCTTCTGAGAGCCAGCTGCTTTCTATGCACCCCTTCCCAGCTCATTCCTGGTGACCCGCTTCTCTCCCTCACCAACCCGTGAGCAATGGGCACGTGCCCCTCCCGGGAGAACGTTCCCCTCTGGAGAGGCCCTGAACCAGCAAGGGAAAAGAAACAAAAGCCACAGGCATTCATCCCTGCACCTTTCCCACACCCAGCTAGGATCCTTAAGGTCATGTATTTCATGCTGCATGTCAGGTACTGCACGCTGATGCTTGCTACAAGGACTCTACTAAATCTGCCGTCAAGTACACCATTAAAAAGAAAAGGCATTACAGGCTTCAATAAAGAGAGCTGTTAAACTTGAACAGCAGAGCCAGGGCAAACACTGAGCTAAGCCCAGCAGCAGGGGCTAAATGCTTCCCATTAACCAGAGGGTTTGAGAATTCAACTAGTCTTTGCAGTGTTTTTCACTCCCTGCAGAAGCTACTCAGTACATGAGATTCACCAAGGGCATCGAACAGCCGCGAGGATCGGTGACAAGGCGGAAAGAGCTGCTGCCTCGGACCCCCTTCAGCCAGGGAGATCTCAGCATTTCCCGTCAAAGTTTGGGGAACGCTCCTCTCTCGCTCGTGGTCGTCAGGAGGAAAACCTGCGCCTCTGGGATTATGAGGATAGGAGCTTTGCTCCCCAGCTGGAGCAACAGAGACATGAAGGCTCCAGTTCTGCTCCTCTTGAGGCACTGGTCCAGTTGACGCAAGGAGGCCTGTTCACATGTGCTGAGCCCTGAGCGGGCATTCCCGGGACCAGAGCCCAACATTCAACATCCTTTTTCACTTTGCATTTCTCTGTCTAATAGACAACTCTCACCTGACAATAAGGATGGGGTCTTTTCCTTAAGGGTGCCTGTAGCCCAGCTGCCACAGCCACAGAGACCCCCAAACTGTGGCATAAGTCAGCTGGAACAGTGCCTCAAAGACAAGCCGCCTGCGTCTCAACCGGCAAGGGGCTTGGAGTGAGGCTGCGAGAACCAGAAAGCCATCCAACAGGCTGCCTTTCCCATCAGCATGCAGCCCATTGTATTTGGCCTTTAACTACCTCTTATGTTCCACTTGGGCTGCACTGTCTGTGCCTGCAGGGGAGCATCTGGCCAGTTACAGCGACCAGCAGGGATACTCTTGGGTGGGCACTTTGTTACGCATGGGCATCTTTGTTTGCTGAATCAGGACCAGGGAGCAAAGCCCCTTCCTAACGGTTTAAACCCCAGTTTAGGCTTAGCACACAGAACAGCACCCGCACTTGTACTGACCATTTTCCGCTTGGTGCAGAGGAAGGCGTGACACTCCAGGTTCTCATTATGCTGATTCTGAGCAATGTAGGCGAACACTTTATCGTGGATCTTGTCCGCTGTGCAGTATGATATCCTGGAAGTCAGATTGAGGAGGAATTAAACATCTGGATGATGCCAGTGCTTATAGGAGAGGGGAGGAGGGAGCAGACAGCCGGAACAAGGAAGAAGATATGCTTCATTCAGATCAATCATCAAGCTTCTAGGCAAAAGTACAAGCCTGGTCTTAGCCAGCTTCAGAAGCAGGGTCACGGAGGAAGCAAGGGAGCAGAGGCACATGGGGAACAAGACATGTGTTTGTGCCCTGGGTATAACAGAGCAGAAGTGAGGAGGAACTTGCCCATCTGCTTGGAGAATCGGGGAAGCCAGGGGGAATGTTTGAGAAGGCAAACAAAACTCGTTGTCTGGGTTCTGTGACATGCCAATTTGGGGACGTTATGAAAGCAAAGCGCCTCTCAGGCGCTCCCCCTAGAGAGAGTCTGTTCTTGGAGCCTGTGCAGGAGAGGAGAGCCTGACTTATTCTGGGATCACAAATGAGTCTTGAAACTCCCCTGCATGTTCCTGAGTCGCAGAGAAAGAAGCCGACATCAAGAGCCGGGCAAGGCTGTCAGAAAGGATGAGCCTCAAACTCCAGGAGAAGCTCTGATGGAAGCAGGCACCCTCGGACAGCCCAGGATGTGGGGACACGCTCAGCCACAGCTTGAGGAAGGCCCCCTTGATGGAGATGCAGGATAAAAATGTTCAGGCCCCTGCCTTGTGCTGTGGCTGGGCAGGATCCTCAGAGCACCATCCCCTTCCTTCCACTGCCATTTTCCTCCTCACCCCACCCCAGCCCATCTGTGCCAGTATGCCCAGGGAGAAACCACACCTGTCTTAAAGCCACGAGCTTGGCTGCTGGAAGGAATGGGGGAGCCACTACAATGCCACAGAAGTTGCACAAGCACCTGGCAGCAATTTAAAGCACAGAGCCACTTCAGAGGTGGCCTCATCTACTCCATCGGTGGGATGGGCCCACAGCATGGACACTGCACAGGCCAGCAGAAGGACTTTTCTGCCTGTCAGAGTCAACCCTAGCCCCCTGCAAGCCTCTCCCACCCATGAAGCTGCATCTGTGCCGGGGGCTTGGGCAAGAAAACTACACTGGCAGGATCTTTCCATGCTTCTCACCACTATGGCCCTGCTGGCACAGCCCACAGTGCAGACTAAGCCTCAGGTCTAAAGAGCGGGAGGGAGGAAAAGCCGGTTCCCATCTTCACACAATGCTGGAGCACCCAGTCAACCCTTGCATTTGCAATCTGCAAGCTTGCTCTTTTCCAGAGAAACCACTGTCGCATTTCCCACCAGATGCCAAGACTTAAAAAGCCACATTCAAAATTTATTTTGCTTGCATTACTTCCCTGTTGTGCGCTAGGCTGCTCCAGCTCAATGGCCTATATTTTGTCTCCCTGAGTTGGGCTGTGCTTCGTTTTGAAGAGGCACTTGAAAGTTTATTTCTCTCCACCATTTGTTTCCAAAGAAGCAGCGCTGATCTTTTAATAATTGCAACAAAGCCTCCCAAGGTCAGATGAGCAGGGGCATGGCAAGCTTCCAGCAACCCTGGTGTTCAACTCAATATACCACTGCCATTAATTTTCAGGGGAAGTGTCATTCACACACCGCCTCGGAAGTGAATGGGTTTTGTAACGGGAAGACTGCTTCACAGACACAAGGCGTCAGGATGAAGAACGCCTACAGTGTTACGGGGACTGCATTTTAAACTGCAGCCAGTCAATTATGGCGCCAGTCTGAGCAATGGGAGTAGGGCAGAGATTTCAGGCACTGTTGTGGGCTAATAAAAGCGAGAGGCTGAGGCGCAAAGCCATCAAGAGGAAAATCCTGCTACTTGGGAGCACGGTGGCACCCATGACAGAAGAAATTACTTAGGGCAATAAAACAATGAAAGCCTGCAAGAAATATATAGAGGTAGGACCCTCCGTGTAATTCCTTAAACCACAGTGCTGTTGTTTTAGTGGGGAGTCTCTGCTGTACATGTTCTCAGCCTCCGTAAGACCCACTGACTTCAGGCAACTGAATCAAGAGGATGCCTTTATAGAAAAATTGATTGGAAAGGACAGCTTTATGGGCCGCTCTTAAAACATCCAGCTTGAATTTAAGGCAACAGCTAAACATTGGGAGCTCCAGTCACTACTCTCCCTAGCTGGATTTCTGTCCTCCTCCTTTGTATGCCAGCATAGTTCTGCTCGCACTCATGGCATCAGTCCCCACGTTTGCTGCCCCTAGGCATCACAGCGGGATGCAGGGGCTTAGCTGTTCCCTTGCCTTTGCCTCTGGGGGCCCTAGGGGGAGAGGGAGAGAGACCTGCCAGGCAAATGCCGCTCAGATGCTTTTTCAAATGGCTATTGACAGAGGGCCCCTGGATCAAGCACAGCAGGCTGGCAGTTTTGTATGGACACAAACCACGTTGATAAGCCAAAGGGCACTAAAGGGAAGAAGAAAGGGGGGGAAGCATCAAGGGGTGGCAGAGGGCTAGAAGCAAAACTGAATTATTAAATCAAAACAGAGGCAGCTGAGGGAGGCACGTGGGCAGCATCTAAGCAAATCTTGGGCCTGGCTGTCTAGCTCAGGATCTTCCCTTCAGCTGTGGCTGGCACTGAATGCTGCAGAGGCAAGCCCAGGACCTCACAGCAGACTATAGCCAGATCATCGGCCCTCCTTGCTGCATTCAGTCCCATCCTGGTCTCCTCTAGCCAGAGCCCAGCCTGTCCAAATCCAAAACCTAGTAGGAGCGGGAGGCAGTAGGATACGTTAGGAGCAGAGGGGGTCAACTGGGGAGCTGACGCCCACATTTCACGCATGGGTTTGCTGACTTTGAACCTGCCACCAAATTAACCTGGGAAAAACCATCTGCAGCTCCCTGCCTGCCAGAAGCTAGAAGTCCACTGACAGGACCCAACGCTGGCCCAGCTCTTCCCCTCACACACTGCATCCCACAACGCACCTGTATATCGAGACGTTTTCGATCAGTTCATTCGTTCCGCTATCATGCAAGATGATCCCTCGAGGAGACACCTTCAGCGTCACTTTCCGTAGTTTCTTTCCACTTGCTTTAGCCTTGGAACAGGAGGGGAAAGAAAGCAAATGCATACATCACAGAAGGTACTTAGCATGATTCCACCCAAAGCTACACTGACACGGTGGATCAGTTACTCTAGACATGGACCGGCTTGTTCTGGCCACTGTCAATCCTCTGGATCATGGTGTACATGCAAGAGGTCTATGTGACCAACACACTAAGTGCACCTAGGCAAAAATATGAGGCAGTAGAAGCTGCCCTAGATTTAACACCCCCACTTTAGACCACTGGGCCAGAGTCCAAAGGCCAGACCAAGTCCCAGACATTCAGTGCCTTGATGGTTGTAACTTCTGCAACCAGAATGACAGCTAAGAACTGCTGCTGACTGCCTAATGCCTCTGGCAGGGTGCATTTCTACTAGGGTGATGTCCATTAGCCTTCCTCCAACCAAGGAGTACCCACAAGGCAATGGAAGCCAAGGTTTTGAGGCACCGTATATTTGCCTGACTCTAGAGGCTGCAACACTGAAGTATTTTACAGGAGCTTTACCACGTTGCCAGCAGGCCCTCCAGTCAGATGCAGTTTACAGTCATACCCAGGACCAACGTACCAGCTAACAGCCAAGTTAATAGCACTTGTTATTATCAGAGATTTAATTTACTACAAGGTATGATAGAGCCCTTATTAAAATTTTACCTTCACCAAAGCACTGATTTATGTTGCCGTGGACAACAGATTAGAACATGCGCTCATCTGTAAAATGCTTAAACACTTCATTTGGGCTCTGTGCTCTCAGCAGGATTGTGCTGTATTGCTTACGGTGGCTGAAGGCTGCATGCTCAGGATGGACAAAACCTCTAGAGATATGAACTCAACCTGCATGGAGGGTTTGCATCCAGTACCACATCAAACCGCACGTTAGCAACCAGACTGGATGACATGCCATAGAACACCTGCTACTAGATCTGGGATGATCCTATGTGCCTAGGCTGAGCAGCCTCTGGAGCAACAAGCCTATACCTACAGTAGACTATTATCTTTGGTTTAAATTGCCTTAAATCTCCTCATAGGGCAGTGATTCTCAGCCAGGGTGCCACAGCCCCTGGGGTGCTGTGAGATTCTTTAAAGGTGCCGCACAATACCAGCACTGTCAGGTGTGCAACTGCCTGTGCATGATTCGCAAGATGAACCCAGAGATTTCAAAGAGGAATCCAGAGTGTCACCAACATCCTGACCTGCTTGGTCTCCGCTGAGTTCTTTGCAACAGCAGAATTGCTCTAGCATGTTTCCATAGTCAAAAAATGGATGAAAGCCAAAAGGAGACATATTACGAAGGGGATATGGAGTCTAAGAGGGTTGAGGACACTGGCGTAGGGAAACAACAGAATTAAGGCCTGACCCTTGAGTTATTCCTTAGGGAAAGGACCACTGAGACTCAGTTATGCACAGTCTACACAGCAGTACTGTGGTCAGATGACCTGGCATAGGTACAGCTCGCCAGCTGGAAGAGACTGTCTGTTGTCAGCACTGCCCCAGCATCCCTGAATGTCACACTGCCTGCTTCCCTGGGCCTCTGGTTTGCACCTCTGGGCCACCTGTGCAATATTTCTAGCCTCTGTGTTGGCAGACAAAAATACCATACAAAAAAAAGTCACACAGCTCCAGGAGCTGGGGCTTTACCCCCAGGTACATCAAGCCAGCCACAAAATCCAGTGTACCGTCTCACCATCTCTCCAGATGAGGAATGATGCTCCCACACTCGTGCACTTTGCCCTGTGATACCTACACTCAAGCAGCTGCTCGCCCCCCGGGTCCGGCCCTTCAACTGAGCCTGCTTTGCTGGTCATTGGACTGTTCCAATGTAGCATTAGCTTGACCACAACCAAATGCTTGCAGACAAAACCTGCTGCTGCAACACTGGCTTTTCCAGAGAGCAGCTTTGCTCCCAGGTCTTCACTCAGCATTACAAGGCCCTAGGGATTTTTGTCTGGCAACAGTTCGTGGCTGTTATCCCCACTGCCAGCCTGTTGCTCTGACTTGCATCAGCCACAGGCTTAGCTGCTTTAAATGTATTCATTTATGTATTTATTTCAACCGCCATTAGATTTAGAGCCAAGTCGAGGTCAGCAGCAGATCAAGTGCACTTGACTGGCAATGTGTGCAGGCAGCCATTTGAAGCCCAGTGCCGTGAACCTAGGGTTCGTTCTACCCTGTAGGGGCAGAGAAGCCCCCTCGGGACAGGCAGAGTCCCACTGAGCTGGCTGCACGGCGGGGAGCAGATGGGAATAGACTCCGACAGGGCTCCACGATGCTGTACTGGGACAGAAGTGACATGCAGTCGTCGAAAAGCCTCAACAGTGGTAGATGTGTGCCCAAAGTGGGAGCCTGGGGGTATGGTGTCTTGGGTACAGCCCAAAGGTAATTAGTACTGAATTCTGGCCTCCTAAGTGCAGGCCACAGTGCAACAAACTTGATAATGGAAAACATGGCCTTTGCAACGGGAATGTCCCTGCCTCCACCCCACCGGTCTAAAGTATCCCAGCTGGAGAGGCTGCTGGTTTCCTATACGGTGTGTGGCAGGTGTGGGGTAGGGATAATGAATGGCTTGAAATACCATAGGGACACCTTCTCTTCCCAAGATGTCAAGTGCAGAGAGCTCTTACCAGACCAGGCATAGCACTTGACACAACTTTTAATCCCTCCAACCCTGCCCTGCAGCCACCCTCCTTAAGTCTCATGGGAAACTCCTTGAAAGGGAGGTGTATAGAAAAGGTCCTTTAGCTTATGTGGTTAGAGCATGGTGTTAATAACACCAAGGTTGCTGGCTGGATTCTCTGGTTGGACTAAATGATCTCTTGAGGTCCCTTCCAGCCTTACTTCTCTATTGAAAATATGGAAATAGATACATGCAGGATGTCTATGAACAGCACTTGTCGCGTGCAAACTTTGAACAGGGAGAGAAGCTTCTGCGCTGGTGACAGGGAGCTCCTTCACTAGGATCGGAGCTAGTCAAAAACACCATCCCGACACTCACCGTTGCTACTATTCTCTTGACAGCAGCAGCTGAGAGGTCTTCTCCTTTGGGCTCTTCCACCAGTGTCATGCCCATGTACTTTAGGTTGAAAAGCATCCCCTCCAGCAGGGTCTCCCTGGTGTCAGTCCAGTTTTCTGGCAGTTCTAAAAGGAGATTATAATTTTTTAAACAAGGGATTTCACTGACAAGTCACGCAAACACACACCAGCTGCCTCCTCTACCTTACCTGGGTGTCGGAGGGAGCAGTGGAGCACATCACAGCAAAAGCTGTGACCAGAGAGACTGGAAAATGCACCAGTCATTGTATCTGCTACTCCTGGCAACCCTCTCACCGAGCTCTCACTGCACAAAGATTTCAAGTACCTTGGCTTCACTCAAGTAGCCCAACAGCAAAGACCGCAGAATCAAGGCCGGTTCGCTTGGAGACACTCAAGAGCAAGACGAAAGACTCCCAGGCCCAGTTCCTTGTCGCTCTGCTTGACCTTAAAAACTAAGTTTGTGACCAAGAAGGGAGATAAAGGTGACAACTGCACCCGCTCATGGGAGATCAGGCATCATTCCCCAACGTAACTTGACTTCAACTCCAAAGCTTAGTAAGCAAGCAAGAAAAACTTGACAGTAAAACTAGAGAGCCTTTGGGAGCAGAAGGCCAGTAACACGGCCACGAAACCTCCGCCTTCCCAGGGCCTGCTCACACCCATGCTAACTAGGAA